GGACCACAGGCGCCCGCCACAACACCTGGCTATTTTTTGGTTGCAACCGTCATTGTTGTTTTTGGTGGGCCAGGCTGGATTTGAACCCTCTACCTTAGGTGTATGTGGCTGGCACCTTAGCCACTTGAACCACAGGTGCCAAGCCAACTCCTAGCATTCTTTAGGGCTCTACTTTTAAGCATCATATTTATTTTTCATTCACTCTTTTTTTTTTTTTTTGAGCTGTAGCCCTTGGTAGAGTGCCATGGTATCATAACTCTCAGCAACCTCTAACTCTTAGGCTTAAGTGATTCTCTTGCCTCAACCTCTGTTTTTCTATTTTTAGTAGAGTTGCAGGTCTTGGTTTTTGCTTAGGCTGGTTTTGAACTCATGAGCTCATGATCTCATCCTCCCAGAGTGCTAGGATTACAGGTGTGAGCCACCTTGCCCGGCCTTTTCATTCATTCTTTACTTACACAGCTATTTGCTACCATATGCTAGGCATAGAGGGATGAAGTGACTGAAGGAGATAGAACTGTGTTCATGGAACTTAATTTCCAAAGGGAAGGAAGATAATTAACAAATGACCACAATCAGCTCAGATCATAAGTATATGAGGAAAATGAAATGGAGTCTCTGTTAGCCAGAGATCTAAATGATGAGAAGCTAGAAAAAGGAAAGGAGAGTCAGTAACATGGGCTGTACATTGAGAATGAGCTTTGTTGAGTTTGAAAAATAGAAAAATACCTAGTGTGGCTAGAATGAAATAGATAAGGGGGAGTAATGTGTGAGTAGGTGATGATCAGACAACTAAAACCTTATAGGCTAAGATAAGAAATTGGATTTATTCTAAGTACAACAGTGAGCATGCAGTATGCTTTCGACAGGGCAGTGAGATGATCTGATTTTGGTTTTTAGAAAGTCATTTCTACAAAGAAGTCTTCCTGGATCCCCCATATTGGGTTAGGACTCGCTAGACTAGATATCTGGAAAATCCTATAAATCTGCTATCATGATGCTCACGAGTCTAGTGTACTGTATTACCTGCTAGACTATAAGTTCCACCAGGGTAGGGATTGTCTATCTTGTTCCTTTTCAGACCCTCCGCACATAGTAGGTGCTGAGTAAAATGCGTTAAAGGGAGGAATAGTTCTTACTACCCGTGCTATAATTTTCTTAGGGTTTCTCTCCCCCAACAGGGGCTCCTAAGGGCAACATCACATCTGACTCATGGTCAGTCTGCTTCATACTTGGTACATATTTAGGAACCAGAAGCATAGTTCTGACTTCAAGAAACTTACAGGCTAGTAGGGAAAGAGAGAGGCTAAAGAGTTAGAGGACAAAGTATAGTGAGGCACAGCACGGTGGCTAAGTTGCTCATCTCCTCTGAACCTTGGCTCCTCATCTACACAATGGGTTGACATATATTACTTCATGGGATCACTGTGAGGTTCAAATGAGCTGATCCGCGTAAAGTACTTACAACACTACTCGGCACACAGTGAACAGCACTCCCTCAATACTAGCTTTCATTACAAAGAGAATGGTCTGTGGCTGAGAGAGGGGGTGTTCAGAGAAGGGTTTCTGGAGGAGCTGGGCACTCAAGGCTTCGCACCCAATGAGTTTCGTTAATGCTAACTTATAGTGACAATTACAATTTGGGGGTCATGTCTGATGACACTCTTTTGCAAACATCATCCCATCCAGTTGTCACTCCACGAGTGAAAACACTAAGGCTTGGCAAAACTCTCCCCGGAGCTGACTGGAGTAGAGCCGGCGCGGGGTCAGGACTCTGGGATGGACCAAAGCACAGATCCCCATTTAATCCGGAGGGTCCCCAGGCTCCCGGCCCAGCTCAAGTTAACTCACAGCCTCCCGGACCCGAGAAGTGAACCCTCTCACGCACCTTCCATACGCTCCGCAGATATCCCTGGAAGGAGACCCCAAATCCCGGCCACTCCCGCCGGAAGCACGACATCACTTCCGCCACGCCCCACCCGCGGCCACTTGTGGCTCTGCCGCCCTAGCCCACGGCGGAACCCGGCTGCGCCTCTCCGGTGCCGACCCGGTTGCCCAGGGAACGGGCTCCCGGCAGCCCCCGCGGCCCGGAGTCCATCCCCGCCTCCTCCGGCCCGGCGGGGCCGACGAGTCCGGAGGGGCTGTAGTGGGAGGTGAGTTCGGCAACGCCGCAGGCAGCCCCGACGCCCGGCCCCGCGCCCTTTCCTCGGCTTCCCAGCCGCTGCTTACTCCTCCTCTGGCCACGTTCCCTCGTCTCCACCCCCCAGGGTCTCCACTGTCCCCTTTCACTCCATTACCCCAGCCCGCGCGGAGTGGCGGAGACTAAATGCCATAACACTGGACGCTCCTGGCTCGCCGCCTGGCAGAAACTGACAGTCCCAAAGCCGAGCAGTTATCTCCCACCCCTCCTCGGCTTCGCTGGGTCATCCCACACCATCCTTTGGGCCTCCGTCTTGCCCGCCCCATCTCCTCTCGCTCCTCCTCGTCTGCCCCACCCTGGCATCCCTTCTTCCGACTGGTCCCGTGACTTCAAGCCTCTTCGTTTTAAGATTGACGTTGCATTCTGTCCCCCGACCCTCTTACCCCTTGTCCCTGCATCTGCTCATCAGCTCTTGGCAGCAGGCCCTGACTTACCCAGTAGGTTCAGTTTCAGTAAGTATTTATTAAATGGGTAAGTGAAGGACTCCTCTCTCAACCCAATTTTAATTCCTAAGAGGCAGAATAGGTAGCGAGGGTTAAAGAATGGATGCTCTGGTGTTAGACCCAGGGTTACGTCAAAGTGTTACCCCTAGCTGTGTGCTGGAGGCAAATGCTATTGTCTCACTGCACTTGTGTCCTCACCAGTAAAATGGAGGTAATAATAGTTTTTACTTCTGGCTTCTGGGAAGAGTTAATGGGTCAGTGCATGTAAAGTTAAGCACAGTGCCAGGCATGCAGTACATTTCAGTACTTGAAGGTCCTAGGTTGTTACCTACATCTATGCTGGCCTGTCTTCTTTCTCATTCCTCCACTTCCTTCTTATACATATGTTTCTAACTGCTCATTAGTTTTACTTCTTTACTTCCATTTCTCTTCCCTCTTGTTCTATTCTAAATGGGATTCAGGAATTTTATTCTGTTCTGTTGCTTCTGTTCAATTTGTTGGCAGAATATGTGGTACTAGCCTGGGTGCACCCTTTTCTCATCTGCTGGAGTGATCAGTTGCAGTTGGCATTGACTACCTCCTTGTAGCCAAGGTCTTGTAAACTTTAAGAAAGGAAATTATGGGAAATCTCCAAACCCAGATCCCAGGCATGGGCAGAATCTGGGAATGAAGCTGCTCTAGTGCTTTGTGGTTACCCATAACAACTGGTCTTTTAAGGTGCAAGACTTTTTGTACTTTCTCACACTTAGCTATATGGCTTAATAAGCCTCTGATCATTGTATTTTTGATAGCCTGACTTACACCCCATGTTCGTTTATTCAGCAGGTTGTTACTTGGGGTCCGTTGTATGGCAGCCACTGTGCCAGGCTGTAGGAATGTTATGGTGGGCTAGACCCAGTTGCTGCTCTCCGGGAGTTCGTAGGCTGGTCTTTGAGATTTAAAACTGAGAACCACATACAGGTATAGAGGGCACTCTACTTGAGTTTTCAGGACTGACTTGGATACCAATGGTGGGGAAGATGGAATAAGGATAATCCTCTTCTGAAGGAGTGACTAATAAGTAGCCTTTGTTAGATTTAAGTTACTTTGAAGCCATATCATCTTTTCAATAGAAGACTGGCTCCTACTGGATTTTTTTTTTCCTTTTTCTTTCTTTTTTTGTTTTGTTTTTTTTTTTTTTTGAGACAGAGCCTCAAGCTGTCCCCCTGGGTAGAGTGCCGTGGCATTACAGCTCACAGCAACCTCCAACTCCTGGGCTCAAGCGAGTCTCCTGCCTCCGCCTCCCAAGTAGCTGGGACCATAGGCGCCCGCCACAACGCCCGGCTATCTTTTGGTTGCAGCGGTCATTGTTGTTTGGCGGGTCCGGGCTGGGGATTTGAACCCGCCACCTTAGGTGTACGTGGCTGGCGCCTTAGCCGGGTGAGCTATAGGCGCCGAGCCTCCTTTTTCTTTCTTAGAGAAGTTATACATCAAGTTTAAAGAGGATCTTATTCATATTGGCCTCTATCTAATTTGAACAAAATGGCTACTGGAACTTAGTGGGGAAAAAAGGAAGGAAAAGGCATTAATCAGAGCAATTCATTGAACCTGGAAAGATGAGGTATAGATCACGAAACATGTGGATAGACCTCATTTTTTTACATTCATCAGTTGAAAGACAGTTGGGTTGCTTTTACTTTTTAGCTATCATGAATATTGATGCTGTGAACATTTGTGTATAAGTTTTTGTGTAGACATTTGTAGTCATTTCTATTGGGTATATAGTAACCATGTTTAAACTTTTGAGGAGCCACCAGATTGTTTTCCACAGCGGTATTATTCTGTATAATACCTCCATGATGTAGGTTATATTAATCTGGTTTCAAATGGGCCAACAGAGATCTAGAGAGGTTAAGTAATTTTCCCAGTGCCCCTGCAGGTGGTTTCAGGATAGCATTGGGATTTGAGCCCCAGCCCTTTTTCACTCTGGCATTGTTAACCACTCCCCTGTGCTCAGGGAAAAGAGGGTTAATTTAGTGGCATTGGGTCTGAGATCTGGTGTAGAGTGGGGTTAAACGTGTGGGTAAGGAGGGGGAGCAAAAATGTTTTAGCAGGAATGTTTGTTGAGTCTAAATTATTTTTCCTAAACCCACTGTTTTCCACAGTGTCTGTACCATTTTATTTTTTACCAGTAATGTATCATGTTGCTAACACTGTGGGTTTTTTAAATATAGCCATCCTAGTGGGAGAAAAGTGGTATCTCATTGTGGTTTTAAGTAGCATTTCCACGATGCTTAATAAAATTGAGTATTTTTTCATGTGCTGTTAGCCATTGTGTGCCACTTGGAGAAATATTTCTAAGGTCCTTTGTCCATTTTTATTTTATTTATTTATTTTGAGACAGTCTTATTATGTCGCCCTTGGTACAGTACCATGGCATCATAGCTCACAGCAACCTCAAACTCTTGGGCTTAAGCGATTCTCTTGCCTCAGTCTCCCAAGTAGTTGGGGCTTTAGGTGCCCCACAATGCCTGACTATTTGTTGTTGTTGTTGACATTGTTGTTCAGTAGGTCTGGGCCGGGTTCGAACCCCCTAGCTCCGGTGCATGTGGCCAGTGCCCTCATCACTGAGCTATGGATGCCGAGCCCCTTTGTCTATTTTTAGATGTCTTTATTTTAGAGACAGAGTCTCATTATGTTGCCTAGTTTGACATCAAATTCTTGGGGCCAAGAGATCCTTCTGAGTTGTTGGATCTATAGGTGCATGGATCTAAAGCCATGCCACTGAGCCTGGCTTTTAGGATTGTCTTTTTATTATCAAGTTTTTTTTTTTTTTTTTTTTTTTTTTTGAGACAGAGCCTCAAGCTGTCCCCCTGGGTAGAGTGCCCTGGCATTACAGCTCACAGCAACCTCCAACTCCTGGGCTCAAGCGAGTCTCCTGCCTCTGCCTCCCAAGTAGCTGGGACCACAGGCGCCCACCACAACACCCGGCTATTTTTTGGTTGCAGCCGTCATTGTTGTTTGGCGGGTCCGGGCTGGGGATTCGAACCCGCCACCTTAGGTGTACGTGGCTGGCGCCTTAGCCGGTTGAGCTATAGGCGCCGAGCCTTTATTATCAAGTTTTAAGAGTTCTTTATATATTCTAGATAATATCTCTTATCAGATATATGATTAGCAAATATTTTTGTCCATTCTGTGGATTGTCTTTTCACTTTCTTAATGGTGTCTTTTGGAGCACAGAAGTTTTTAATTTCTGTGAATTCAGAGAGCTCATTCTGATTGCTCTAAAGGAGTATGGGTTCTAGGGGTGCGTGTAGAAGCAGAGGGCAGTTATCAGATGACCATGGCAGTGCAGGGAAGAGATGTGATGGCTTCCACTAAGCCATGCCCATAGAGTTGGTGAGAAGAGGCCAAGTAGGAGATAAGTTTGGAAATATGGCTGATGGAAGGAGATGAGGGATTGTTGTAGGGGTGAGGGAGATAGGAATCCAGGATGAATACTAGGATTTCAACTTGAACAGTGCCTTTAATTCAAGATTTGATTATGCTGTTAACCTGTTGCAGAATTGGAACAGTTTTTAATACCTGATGACCTCTGGCAAGGTGAGCCCTAAGCTCCCTCCTTACACATTTTGAAGTTGCCTTTGGTAAGATTATCACTGGTTGTGCCAAGGAGATGCTTCCAGGGATTCTGACCTTCCATAATACCCCTGAAAATCATCACAAATAATGTGGTGGTATAATGTAGTGTGCCTGCTCTGCAAATGCACTTTTAAGGCAAATCCCCTACTCCCTTCTAGCCAGACTGCATCTCAAAGCCCTTGCTGTATAGAGATAATGAAGCTGTCAGGGAATGGTATCAAATCAAGTGGATGAATTTTTGAAAGCTAAATGTCGTAATTTCACAGAGCTACTTTGAGGAAAAAGTTTTTTTTTTGTTTTTTGGATTTTTTTTTGAGACAGAGCCTCAAACTGTCACCCTGGATAGAGTGCTGTGGCATCACAGCTCACAGCAACCTCCAACTCCTGGGCTTAAGCGATTCTCTTGCCTTGGCCTCCCAAGTAGCTGGGACTGCAGGCGCCCACCACAACGCCTGGCTATTTTTTGTTGTCGTTGTTGTAGTTGTTATTATTGTTTGGCAGGCTGGGGCTGGATTCAAACCCACCAGCTCTGGTGTATGTGGCTGGCACCTTAGCCCCTTGAGCTACAGGCACCAAGATGAGGAAAAAGATTTTTAAAGTAGGAAATAACATTGGCCGACACTTATTTGTGAATTGCTTGGTACTTCTACTTGCTTCCAAGGAGCTAAAACAGATAAGAAAGCGCCTTCCAGTGACAGGGAGTAGTCTGAAGGGCAGAAGTGAGAGGCTGAGGCATATTGTAATTAGAAGCAGTTCATTGTGGCTAGAGGCCCAGTTAGAGGTCCGAGGCACCGAGGCCTGGCAGAGGGCAGATCACCAAGGTTCTTCTCACCAGTAACACTTGGGCTTTAGGCAGAAGAGGATGGGGACTACTGGAGTGTGTTAAGCAAGGGTGTGAAAAGATGGCAAGATCAGCTTTGCATAACAGAAAAATCCCCATTTGCCAAATGGGTGAGAGGCTGGCAGATGAGCTTGCACCAGGGAGAGCTCCTGCTGAGAGAGAGTGCTGTCCTGAGCTAGGGGAGAGGCAACAGGATGCATAGGAGATATATTAAGAAGGAAAATGAAGAAGCTTGTTAATTGCAGACTCAAGGACAAGGAATGAGAGGTGAAAGGAAGAATAGAGGATGATGCCTCTTTTATGGTTTGGACAGTATGACCCAAGCGGCTGGGCAGATGTAAAGCTAAGTGTTTTTAGACATTATTCATTTACTCTGTAATACCTCCATGATGTAGGTTATATTAATCTGGTTTCAGATGGGCAAACAGAGATCTAGAGAGGTTAAGTAATTT